AAGAAGAAGAAGATTCGGGTGGAGTGCAACCCCTTTCCTTAGGCCATCGCCCTGATGCATTGGAAGGAGATTTTCATGGGTGTACAACCTCCTGCCTATGTAAATAGATGTGGAAAGCTTGCTTGCCTTTTGCTGGTTCTGGATCCTGCATCTGATTCAATGACCTCCAGTTCTTTGGATTTGACCTGTTGTCTATGCTATATCTGCCAATCCCAGGAGCTGTGAGCAGCCTTGGATGTGAGATGAAGTTTTGCCATCTGTACTTCTAAGGAGCATCCTGGCTCTACTTCTAAGACGTGCTCCTTTCAAAGTTCTTCACCAGCTCCATAATTAAAATGAGTCACTTCCATCTTCTTTATTCATTGTCCAACTTTCACATGAAATGAGGCAATTAAAAATCCGATTGCTTAGGTCAGGCACTCCTTAGGCCTCAAAACGAGGTCCTTGCTTTTGAGTATTTTAAAGAAGTCTTGTGCAACAGATTTACCCAGTATGGTCCATCATTTTTATTGTTTCTCCTGCAGAGCGGCTTGTAGGTTTGAACTGCTGGTCTTGCAGTGAGCAGCCCAATGAATAACTCACTATGCCTCCAGGGTACCACTACCACCACCCACCTCTGCTGTCATTTGATTTTCTTGACTGCTGTTTATATGAGCATTAATTGTGGACCCAAGCAAAATGAAATCCTTGACAATTTTGATCTTTTCTCCCTTTATCAAATACTATCAGTTGGGCCAAAATGTGAGAATTTTTGATTTGAGAGTAGGTCGCTTTTATGTAAACCCTTTCCTCTTCTAGGACATCATACCTACAATCTGTTGTGTGGAGGTCCCTTGCTATTTAGTTGTTCTTTATCCTGAGCTATATTGTCCCTTACCTTTTTTATCTTTGTCTTTAATTTGTTTATCATCACTATGAAGTATATTTTTTGTATATTAAGTATAAAGTATAAATTTCTTTACATTCTCTTTGGATATGCTGGTTTTATTTTTAATCTTTATTGCTGAGAACATATATTTACTATATCATGTCAATATCATTTTTTATTTCAACTCTACTTGTTATTAGCATTTATGTCAGCACTTTCGATGATAATTACTCATCTAATTCCTGGATCTCCTGAATCCACTGATAATCTCCACTGGCATGCTGGATATGAAATGTGTCCCACACTGAAACTGGTTTTATCTCATGAGTCTGGATTTTTCCCCCCCAAAATTTCGGAGCTACATATGCAGCAACCTGCTGCTACCAGAGTTTAAGTTCTGTAGGTGTGAGAGCAATAATCTGAACACATACCCTGCTAGTTGGTTTGTAAAATGGTACAGCCACTATAGAATACAGTATGGTGCTTAAAGCTAGAAATAGAAATATTTTATAATCCCATCCCTAGGTATATATGTTTTCTGAAGTGGGTGACATCGCCTCATGAGAGGCACTGGAACAATCCAGCGGGACTGCAAAAGCAGAGACCTACGCTTTATCATGGATTGTGGACTATAGTATAGCAGTTTTTCATTGCCAGAAGAATTGGTGCTGGTGCAAGGAGGAGGGTGCTGAGTGTTTTCTTTTTTTTTTTATAAAGGGGGTGGTGGTAAGCCAAATAAGTTTGGGAACCTGTGGCATCTACTAAAATATATTAAGAGCAGTGACGTGAATAGACATGCATACCTATGTTAATTAAAGCATTATAATAGCAAAATGATGGAAACAACCTAAATGTCCATTAATGGATGAATGGATAAGCCATTAGCATGCATTGGATACTTTTTAACCGTAAAGAAATGAGCCTGAGCAACATAGATGAATATGGAAAGCAGTTTGCTGAATAAAGCATGTAAATCACAGAAGAAGGAAGTATAGATTCTCTATACTCCCACTTGTAAAAAACACCCAGCATTCAGCAGTTTGCTGAATAAAGCATGTAAATCACAGAAGAAGGAAGTATAGATTCTCTATACTCCCACTTGTAAAAAACACCCAAGAAGAGAGGGAGGGGAAATCACTTTATATGGTTCAGCCCTTCTTGAGTTGATTTCTACTCATAGCGACCCTATAGGATATAAAAGAATTGCCCCTGTAGGTTTCTGAGGGTCTATAACCTATATGGTGGACACTAGCTACTTTTGATAATGGGGAAGTCATGACCAAATTTGGGTGAATTCAGCACAAAATGCCCAAGGTAAATAAAGACACTAAGAAATAACATGAGGATCTGAGCACTCTCTTGTTTTGCCTACCCCCCCCCATCATTATCAAACTCATACATCTAAAGAATTCAAGACCATTTCGATCGAATTGAGGATCCCTGGTGGTAGAGTGGTTATACATTAGGTTCCTAACCACAAGGTTAGCAGTTTGAAACCACTATTTTCTTTGTGGGAGAAAGATTCGCTTTTCTAGTCCCAGAAAGAGTTATAGTGTCATAAGCCCATTGGGGAAGTTCTCCCCTGTCCTATAGGGTCCTTGAGTCAGAGTCAACTTAATGGCAATTATCTGTTTTGGCTGGGCCATTTAGTAGATTCTAATGCAGTGGTTCTCAACCTTCCTAATGCCGTGACCCTTTAATACAGTTCTTCACGTTGTGGTGACCACCACCCCCAACCAAAATTATTTTTGTTGCTACTTCATAACTAATTTTGCTATTGTTATGAATCCGGCGACCCCTGTGAAGGGTTGAGAACTGCAGCTCTAATACATAGTGATTACATAGGGCAGAGTAGAATTACTTCCTGTGACTTCCAAGGCTGTAAGTCAGGGGTGTCTCATCTTTTTCCTGAGGAGCACCTGTGAGTGTGAACTAGCCTTGCAGCTAGCAGCCCAGTGTGTAACCAACTCTGCCAGGGTCTCTAAGCATTTAGTTCTGTGGTAGGGGTGGGGGACCCGAGCAATCACTATGCTTCATTGTTCAGGATTGCAAGTGTTAGCTCCAAAAGCTGCAGACATTTACTGGCTAGTCCTGGACATTTTGTAACTTTTAGGTGTGCATTATAATTGAAGTTTAATAAAAGAACTTTGCTATTAAAGGCAGTTGACATTGCACTCTTATAGTTATTGAGAGAGAGAAGAAATGATCAGAAACTGTTTTTCAAAATATGTATATTATGTAGAAGTCAAAAAGTACTAGGATAAGTAATTTTCAGCTAGGAGACTTGAGGAAGTTTAAATTAGCTGAAATCTCTGAGGAAGGGGGGTTTTTTTCTCCAGGGAACTGTGCTCTGAACAGAGTGGGACAAATACTTTCTGTCCCTCCACTCTGTGACCTTGGATATGGCTACAGCCATAGAAGGTGTACAGCAGACTGGGATAACCAATTTTGGACTGGAGGACTGCAAAAGTGAGCCTCACTGACCAAGAAAATACCTCTGGAGAGAAGAAGTATCTTTGAAATGTCGTAACTCCTTGTGGTAGTTAGATGAGTTTATGTTAACTAGAGACTCCTGGCTAGAGGTGGAGTCAAACCTGTTAATCAGGTCACAGCTTGATACTCTGTCCTTGGGGGTGTGACCTTTCTATACAAGGGGACCCTGGGACCCACCATCTCAGCCTCTCCCCCTTTACTTCCTATTGGCTGGCCACCCTGAGAGCTGTCAAAGCCCTGCCATGTTTCCACTGACCATGGATCCACACAATTTTGCACCCACCAGCCTGTGATCTTCCTGGCTGCATTCTGCATCACTGCATGTGGCTGCTTCAGTCTGAAGAGGGATGTATGGACTAGTATTGGGCTTACATTGGACTTGGCTGAGATGTTTTCTTAATGTACAATTAATTCTTAACATACAGTTCTTTCTTACACATATGAGTGTCACTAGATTTGTTTCTCTAGACAACCCAATCCAACACACTCGTTCAAGTGGTTTGTGACCCATCTACTCATCTCGAGCTGCACATGTGTGGATGTAACGAAAAGCATTATTACCGTCAAAAATATATGAGAGGTTGCCCAAAAAAGGCCAGAATTCCCCCCCCCCCAAAGGTATATAAAATTTTTTTACAAAACCTTATCATTTCAAAGTACATTACACTTAATACATTTGTCAAATCTGTGATTCCATTCTTGGAAACATTTTTCAAACTCATCTATTTGGATGGCTGAAAGCACCTCATTTTTTTCCTTCACCTCTTCTATATCATCAAATTGCTCTTCTTTCACTTTCCTCTTCAGTCTCGGAAACAAAAAGAAGCCGCACAGAGTGAGGCCAGGTGAGTAAGGTGCGTGGCGCAAGAGAGGCATGCTGTTTTTTGCCAAAAACTGGAGCACTGAGATGGCTCCATGAGAGGGTGCACTGTCATGGCGGCATAACCAGTCTCCCGTTTGCCGAAAATCAGGCCTTTTTGGTTGAACCTGTTACCCAATTTTTTCAGAACCTTTAAATAGAAAGTTTGATTAACAGTCTGTTCTAGTGGAATGAACTCCAAATGCACTAGGAGTCAACATTTTCATCCCTTTGGGAAATTAACAGATGTCCAGAACAAGGTTTGTCATGAATCAACATTTTACCTTTTTTGAAACAAGAAAATCACTCATACACTTGAGTTTTCCCCATAGCGTTTTCCTCGTAAGCTGTATTCAACATCACAACAGTTTCTGTGGCATTTTCCCCAAGCAGGAAACAAAATTTCACAGCCACACATATCTTAAATCGGCCATCACAAAAAAACAAGGTTTGAGTGAAACTGCTTTGATGAAAAATACACTGTGACCAGAGAGGTCACAGTGACCTCCCAGGCAAAGCCACGAAAAAATGCGTACCACGAAAGGTATGCCCAGTGAAGCCTTTTCCATTTTGGGGGGTACCCCCTTGTATTATAGGCTTTAAGAAATTATCTATAGGAGAGATTGGGAGGGCA